AAAGCAAAAATCTAGTTTTATTTTGAATAGAACATCCTCTAAACAACTACATGGTTATCTTTATTTCCACTAATAAGGATGATAGCATAATTAGGATCGAACTTCCTTCAGGTAAGTCGTTTGATCCATTAAAAATATGCCCATAGTTGCAATTATTTTATATATTATTAATGTAGGTGGTGATGTTCATCAGATGTCCATAAACTTTTCAAATGCAATACAAAAAGAGTCCATATATGGACCTTTCATTGAGTCTAAATGGACATCCAGGAGTGGGACATTTGTAAAGTCCATTGGATGTCCCTCGGTAAAATGTTGGACGTCCCTTGGATAGCCGATATATTCATCAATGGACTTCCGATGGACATCCAATGGATTGGCGTGTGCTGTTTGGGCATAAAGACGCCATGATGAAATTTCGTTGGAAATCAGCTTAAATTCGCAATGCTTCTTCAAACCTTTCTGGAACTTGTTTTGTTACGACAATTATAGTGTACTAAACTTGCATTTAACCGAATTAGAATATTAAAACTATGATTCTTACAATTATAATAAATTTCTTAAAATTTTTAGATTCCAACAAAATTAAATAAAATCAACAACCTCATAATTACGAAAGCTTCCTGGGGCCACTTTTTTTATAACAAAAAAATATTATTATCTCGCAATTGTGACTTATTATCTCACAATTGCGACATATTATCTCGCAATTGTGAGTTATTATCACGCAATTGTTACTTATTATCACGCAATTGTGACTTACTATCTCGCAATTGCGACTTATTATTACGCAATTGTGACTTACTATCTCGCAATTGCGACTTATTATCACGCAATTGTGACTTACTATCTCGCAACTGCGACTTATTATTACGCAATTGTGACTTACTATCTCGCAATTGCGACTTATTATCACGCAATTGTGACTTACTATCTCGCAATTGCGACTTATTATTACGCAATTGTGACTTACTATCTCGCAATTGCGACTTATTATAACGCAATTGTAACTTATTATCACGCAATTGTGGCTTACTATCTCGCAATTTTAGAAACATAAATGACATTTTGTGTCTAACTAATACCCTTACAAAAGAAATGATAAATACAATTGAATATTTGAAGGAGTATCTACCAGAATGTAACGACGATATTTAATTCTATTCTAAATGCCAACTTTTGCAATGTTGAAATTGCTTAGTTTCTGAATGTAATAATACAAAATTATGTTTTATTTTTGCGAAGGAAATATTCGTTTATTTGTTCTTTTCTCTTTAATGTGATGTTTCTATTTTTATTTATTTTATAATTTGGTGTATGTACTACTAAAATCAGTATTTTGTACCACTTATTTTTGTATGACAGGAGATTAAAAATATTGAGATTAAAACTATTATACTTCGGTAGAATCAATTAATTGTTCAACAGTAACCAATCCCCTTAATCAACCAAATTAAAAATACTACAGTTTGAGGCATACCTACGTGTCATTGCCAGTCTTTCTCGTTGGTATCTTGTTTCTATTTGGCCTAAAAATGCATTACTCACAAAAATTTATTTCGTTTTACCATTTAAGACTGTTTTCTATTTTTTTTTTTTTTTAGTGATAACTTGTCACGATTTTAATACTAGTATTTTATTAAGTTATCTATTTCACTTTTTAATAAACTATTTGCATTGAATGTTGATATGTATTTAAGTGTTATTTCAAATCGTACATCACTGTGTACATAGATGTAGTTGACTGTATAACAGCAGTGCTTCACAGTGAACCAAGTTGTATTTTGTTTAAATTGTTATGATTTCAACAATTTTGTTTTTACAACTATAGTGGTCCTTACAAATGAAATAATATAAGATATTCTTTATTTATATAAGACATATTTTCAGAAATTTAACTTTAATAGGAAATATACAACAGTAATCAAAAATTTGGATGGTTTTCTTTTGAACAACTGCCTACATAATGTTTGTTTTTTATAAATTTTAAAAATACCTAGGTAAGTTAAAAAATTATCATTAAAAAAACCAAAGTAGTTATGTGTATTACTTTATTGCATATTAATAGGTTTTCCAATATTGCGAACAGTGTTTCCTTAGTATACCCCACCAAGACTCGATGCGTTGATTACACTGACTGGTTCCATAGATGAAACTGTTATCATCTAAAAATTGATCTTCATTTTTAACAGCAGTTCTTCTTAAAAATTTTTGCATTTGTTCTATAGTTCCATTTTCAGTACCCATATCGGATCTAATTTTTCTTGGACACCCACCATATTTTTCAATATTCTTAAAAAAAAAAACCCGAAAACAAAAATTGCATCCAGTAATTACTGAAAAATATATACCATTTTTCCTACTTTTAACCCACCTGCAATTATTTTTGAATCATTCGTATTCGAAGATGCTTTCAACCAAATGATAAACCTCGAGTATCCATCAATAGCGCCATTTATTCATATACCATATGGTTTTAGTTTATCATATGAGTCAAGATGCCATACAAAATTGGGACCAGTATTATTATATTGCCTTCTATGCAGTCTTCGTCTTGTTCTTAGTTCTACTCCAGAAGGATCTAAGTTTTGTAATATTAAACAAACCATATTCTGCAAAACAGAGAAACCATTTTGAATGCATTTCAAATGCATCCATCTTTAGCCATGGAGTTCGGAAGAATTTTGTAACTGATGGTCTATAAAATTTACCAAAATATTAGCTCCACTGAAATATTTTTTTCTAAACAACTTGTTTTTGTTTAAAATCCTCTTTATTTGTCGTTTTGATATATTTGTTGAAAATCTATCTTTCAGTATGTTTCAAATTTCACTATAATTACATCCATTTAAAAAAATAGTGCATAATAAGATTATTTCTTGATCTTGAATCCATCGTCTAGTGTTGCAAATATCTTAAAAGATGGTTAAAATTGTAAAACAACTTAATGAATTATACATATGTTTAAACTCAAAACTCACCTGAAGCTACTACAAGCTCGAGAATGGAAAATGACTTCACTGTTATTTCACGGAACATTGACCAAAGCTCACCATTTTAGGCAGACATGTAACGGCAAAATAACTCACATGTGCGTGATAATAAGTCACAATTGCGTGATAATAAGTCGCAATTGCGAGATAGTAAGACACAATTGCGTGATAATAAGTAACAATTGCGTGATAATAACTCACAATTGCGTGATAATAAGTCGCAATTGCGAGATAGTAAGTCACAATTGCGTGATAATAAGTCACAATTGCGTAATAATAAGTCGCAATTGTGAGATAATAAGTCACAATTGCGAGATAATAATATTTTTTTTTTTATAAAAAAAGTGGCCCCAGGAAGCTTTCGTACATAATAACCAAAATAGCAACGAAATAAGTAAATGAAAAAAAGATTGGTTTGCATATTACTATGTAAGCACAGCATCTGCTTCTCCACTTAACCCATACAGCACAGTGAAGCATAATTTAATGAACTAGATGGTAGAGCAATATGAATGAAATAAATTTTAATATTTATTTCTGTTCCAATAAAATATATTTTTTCTACACCTACATGGATATTAGCTAATCTAAGCACAGATTACAAAACGGAAAAGTATATCATTCCACACTTTCGATGTAAAAGAAAAGATCTTTGTGTGTATGTGAATTCGAGAACTATGGCTGCGGAATCTGAATCCATTTGCCAAACTAATAAAAAGATCTTTTAAATATACATTAAATGAGTTATTTTTGTGTAGAATCGATAAAATATAGTATTTTTATTTTTATATGGTACACATTTAAAAAAAAGTTTTAATCAAACTATATGAAACTAAATTAATTACGAGTATTAAAACTAAAATCATAAAAGTGGCGGCAGAGCTGAGGACAAAGCATCTGCGTTCCACGCGAATATCCCAGGTTCGAATTTGGGCTGGGGACTAGTTTTTTATTTTTTCGTGTTTATTTTATTTTTATTTTATTTTATAAATTATTATAAAATTAATTTTTTTGTCTTAATAACCTAAAATAATATTTTAAATTTGTAAATATTTGTTAGTGGGTCGTAGAAAAAATATACTGTACATCTCGAGTGGATTGTTCATATCCACTTTTGTTGCACAAACTACTATTTTAGTCCCTTCTTAAAGCGCTTCACATTCAAAAATTGTTAGTAAGTTATTTGTTTATATAATTTCAATATGATTTCTTAATTCTGATTGGACATCTCATTTTAATTTAATGTGTTGACATTGTATTTGTTAATAAACTATTATACCAAATTTTGTAATTATTTTAAGTTGAAAATTTTGAAACACGTTCAAAAAATGTTTACAGCATACCTACTGGCCGAGCTGCAGTACTGAATACTTTATGTACTTAAAAAAATTACTTAAGTACAAAAAGTAGTCTAGTACTGTACTTTAAGTACTTGCAAAAATGCCTGTACTTGTACTTACATTTTTAAGTTTTTGTCGTTGTACTTGTACTTAAACAGTAAAATTTGGAATTAAGTACTTTTTTACTTAGGGAAGAAAGAAGGCCACTAAGTACTTTAAAAGTACTTAAGTACTTATAACGTTCTTAAGTATGTCAATGTACTTAAATACCCAGAATGTACTTCAGTACTTCGAAAATTTTAACGCTTTTTTCTAGTTTCGACAGGATTTTTCTTGTCTTATTACCGATCCAACGCGTCACCATGTCACTTAATAAAAAGCCATCGCAAAAGTCATTTGACAATAAAGTTATAAAATTTGTTATCGACACTATGTCACCAATTTTAATTGTATCCAACCCTAGCTTCGTAAATTTATTTTCCAAATGTGCTAAGTTGTGGAATAAATGCGGACGGCCGAAATCGGCTGAGATAATACAAGAAGAACTTGGACATAAGTTCAAAGTTCCAGGAATTACCAGATGGAACTCCACTTACGACGCTGTCGTCCAAATTGTTTCCGTCAAAGATAAGTTAGAAGTTCTATGTGAGTTCTATGTGATAAACTTATGATTCCGGTATTTAAGGAACATGAAATATCCTTTTTAGAGGAATATATCAAATTAATGCAGCCTCTGGCTGAAACATTAGATTTTTTACAGGAAGAACATAACACCTATTATGGGTATCTGCTTCCCAGCTTAGTTTCGATGAAAACTAAACTTCAAAAGCTGAAAATATCAGGCGATATAAAACAGCTAACAGTGCCTTTAGAGGCCATAATTAAGTCTGTCGGGCAAAGATTTAAAGAATTTTTAACTCTAAGTCCAGAATCCAAAACTGCCGTAATTGGCGCCGTGTGTCCACGATTCAAAATGCGCTGGTATAACGCATTTAAAGACTTAAATGTTACCACATACAAAGAAATACAAAACTGGGTAGTTGAATACTTTATCATCCAGGAAAATAAAATACCTAATGAAAATATCCAGTCAAAGGATCTTTTTTTTTAATTTTGAGGAAGAACAAAAGTCGGTATCTTTTACCGATACCAAATACCAGCACAATGACTACTTCTAACTCCCTAGCTGAATTAGAAGCACTAAAACACTTAAACGACAGTAGAACTAATTTAGACATGCTAAACGATTATAGGTATATAAAGTTATTTTTTGTTTAATACAATACGATCCTGCCATCTTCCGCACCAGTCGAAAGACTTTTTCTTTTGCTGGAATTGTTAATGCGCCACGTAGGCATGCTTTGAGCGACTATAATTTTGAAAAACTAGTCGTTCTTAAAGCAAATGGCAATTATTTAGACTCAAGATCCAAATAGATTTATTAGTAGTAGTACTGATGTATTTTATAAGTTTTTGTGGTTTAATAAAGGCATATTTATTTTACCTTGTACTATTTTATTTTTAAATTGTACGTAAAATACGAACTGTTTATTAATAAATACTTTATTACTAATGTCTAATATTACTAATCCCGGTTAGCAATAATATTTTAATTTAAATTAAGGTGACTTAGGCCTTTTGCACACGGAGCTTATCGTCATAGACGCGTACAAGATTCGTCGTGCAGCGACGATTCCTCTACGCCTACCCTTCTGCACACGAAGCTTATCGTCTTAGACGCGTACAAGATTCGTCGGCAAATAATTACATTATTCGTGAAGTGAGAACTTTGTATTTGCACTGTGAAGATGTCAAGTGATGAAGAGGACCTACTTTTGTTACTTTATCTTTCGAATCGCAAGAAAAATAAGAAACGTAAGAAATTTTGGGTGCATTCTCGTATCTACAAAAATTGTATTAACAGGCTATAGCTGCCCAAGATTTTTCTGTTATGTCACCAGCATAGATTCTTTATTATTTTTATATACTTAAGTAAACACAAATGTACTTAAGTGTTTTGTAAGTACTTATTTAAACCTAAATATACTTAAGTACATCTGTATATGTACTTAAGTATACAATGTATTTATCCTACATTGTACTGAAGTATATTTCAGAAGTTAACTACTCTATAAAGTACATAAGTACGTTTTTATGTACTTAAGGCTAATGTACTTAAATTTTAGGATTTAATTACTAGGTACTTAAATACCAAATAGATGTAATTGTACTTGTACTGGTACTTACTGGCAATTTTCAAAAGTACTTATACTTGAGACTTAAGTACATTTTACGGGTACTTACAGCAGCTCTGCCTACTGGACATGCCTCTGTTCTCATTGTAATTTGACAATAATAAAAAAAGTACTAAAGATTTTCATTTAGTGATTTTTTAGTCAACTTATTATTATAGTATCTATATAAATGGTTTGTTATTTTTTATCAACTATAATTTGTTGGAAATATAAATCGCTTGAAGCGGCGACTTTTCGCTGATTCCTTGTATACAAAAGCCAGGGCGGTGGCCGTACATCATAAACAGCATAGTGTAAAGTCTTGTTCCGACAGACGGCCGACAGGAAACCGGAAATTCGGCCCGACGTCCGAATAAAGGGCCACGTCGCGGCGCTCAGCGTCGTCTTTCATCCAACTAATTGCCGTCCGAATTCCAGACACGCATATCGAGCAGATCCACTCCATGGGTGGATGATATCCATATCATTTGTTGTAAATCAAGAAATTTTAACGTCATATTATCGGAGGTGTACCAGAAATATTTCTATAGCCATTTATACATCAAAAAGTTTAAAATAAAACACATTTTACAACAAACGTTAAGTATGTTAAATAGAGTTAAAGAATTTGTACTTAACGGGCGCTTTCTCCAGCAACTCCGTGCACTAAAAAAAAATCCATCAGTTCAATGTTAGTAAATTGCATTAACAAAAAAAAATGAGGTAAGTGAGAAAAAGAAAAAATTAAACTTTGCCGCACGGTTTACAAAATGCTGCATCTCCTTCTAGAGAAAGTTCCGCATTTGGTCGGATACATACAAATTTTTTATCTTTATCTTTGTCGGTCATAAGCAGGTAGATTTAGGTTTGGCCCAGAACACTACGGCCTCTTGGGTCTATTGTATTATCCTGATTTCTCCGTATTCAGGTACTACCTTTGGAATAGTTATGTGTCTTTGGTTAGTTTTAATAAGTTCCCTACCAAGTGTTCTTTGGGCGTTTTTTCTGGTTCTAGGCCGAAAAGGATAAAACGCCGTCTAGTAAGAGCTTCGCAGTCGAAGATCACATAGTCTGAGATTTCTTCCTCTTTTATGCAGTCTACACGTAGTGGGATCATTGGGTAATCCCATCACATGAAGGTATTTCAGCAAGTAATCCCACAATGGTGGATATCTGAGGCCTTGCTTGTGGTAGTGCCTCAGTAGCCATGGTTAAACACACTTAACAAGTCATATGTCATATATGTATAAACAAACTCACAAAACATCTAAAACATTTTAAATTATAAATTTACTTTTCGACATGATACAGTAACCGTCTTTACTTGTTATAAAAGAGCAAAAGGTTAGGGTATTTCCCTTATAGTTAAGCCTCAAGCCTTCGAACAGGTAAATTTTCCTAGAAAACAAATACCAAACAAGCCATTGATTCTATTAGTGAACCAAAATTTTATTATAGAAAGGTTTCATTCAAAAAAAGGCACAAAAAGGCGGAATTTACGAAAAAAACAAAATAGGCAAAAAGGTTTAAAAATAACTAGGATTATAAAATAAATTGACAATGCTTTTAGTGCAAATTTTCAATATTCTTAGGTGAAATCTTTAAGGTCTCATCTAGGGATAATACCGGGATTGGACAACCCTAGTGTTGCAAACTGGCAACTCACAGCTTTATCGTAAAGTTTGACTTTTTTGAGGTCATGGGTTCTCAGATAGTTTTGACATACGAGCGCTATTTGTGTTGTTTACAGAAATATAAAAGATTCATCTCGGCCAAACAATGGAATTAAATCGTGAACATTTTCGTGCGATTATTTTTCACAACTTTCGACGTGGATTAACTCAGCAACAGTTCATCGACGAACTTAATTCAGTTTTTGGCGATAAAGCTCCATCAAGGACCAGTGTTTATCGATGGTATGGTAAATTCAATCGAGGTCGTAGTTCGCTCCAAGACGAATTTCGTAAAAGTGATCCAAAATCAGTTGTTGTTCCGGAAACCATTGATGCTATGCGCGAACTGATAATGGGTCCTATGATTGAACGTTTATGTTATCCATAACGTACATGTTAGGTCGAATTTTAACAGTAACGAAGCAAGTTTGTATGATGGAAAACTGTTAAATTAGAACATAACAGGCGGAAAATAACAGTAATGTGTTGGAAACCGTTTTTCATCATACGAACTTGCCCAATTACTGTTAAAACTGAGCCTAACATGTACGTTACGGATAACGTAAACGTTCAATCATAGGACCCATTAAAAGATCGTCATGTGACCTACCGTAAGATAGAGACAACCTTAGGTATTAGTGGGACTAGCATACATTCAATATTGCATGAACATTTGACTGTCAAAAAAAATTTGTTCGCGTTGAATCCGACACAATTTGTCAATCGTTCAAATAAAGGCACGTGTTGATTGGTCGAAATAAATGCTCAAAAAATACAATCGCGGTGCTTCAAAACACGTCTATGACATAGTAACAGGTGACGAATCGCGGATTTATGCGTATGAGCCCGAAAGTAAACAGCAGTTGACTCTATGGGTGTTTCAACATGAGCTAAATCCAACAAAAGTAGATCGCGCACGAAGCACTTCCAAGCAAATGGTCGCCTATTTTTTCGACAAAACTGGACATGTCGCAACCGTACCACTAGAAAAACACAAAACAGTCAATTCTGAGTGGTACACAACCATTTAATTGCTAGTTGCTTTCCAAGAAATGAGGAAATCCAACCGACGAACACGGATCACTCGGCTCAAACAATTGCATTTTTGAACACTCAGAATGTCGATGTGATTAGTCATCCGCCGTATAGTCCTGACTTATCACCGAATGACTTCTTTTTATTCCCGTACGTAAAATGTAAACTGAGAGGTCATCGTTTTTCGACACCTGAAGAAGCGATTGATGCGTTCAGAATGTACGTTTTGGAGATACCTCAATCAGAGTGGCAAACGTCCTTCGACAATTGGTTTAAACACATGCAGATGGAGAATATCTTGAAAAACAATAAAGCGATTTTCGATTATTAATATTTGTTTTTGTTCTCTAATCCCGAAATATAAAAGGCAACCTAACTGTAATTTAGATACATATTTTCTTCTGTATTTATATGGAACTTGAGCTAAGTTAAAACACCTATAATACACCTATAATAATAACTTTCATGCTCCGTGAACATAAGTATAATATTAAATGATTGACCAATCATCTAATGGTCAGAACTTGAAGTTAGATACAAGTTGATGTTGAAACGTGAAACATTCTATGCTCCGTCTATCTATTAATGGTTAAAGAGGTTCGCCATTTACGTATGACCTCTGGTGGATTTTTTAGAACTACGTAGGTACTTAATTTGGGCGAAGTTGAAACACCTATAGTAACTGACATCCACTTGCTATAGATACTAATAATTTCTTCGGAATTCATACTAACTCGCCTGATAGCTCAGAATGCTGGTGTCCTGCACTACCTGCACATACAGCCCAAACACATTTCAGAAATATTTCAAAAATATTACATTGAAAAATTTGTAATGTTGTATAAATATTACGAAACATTTCTGATGTGGCTGAAACGTAAAAATTTCCTATAAATATAATATTTCTGAAATAAAAATTTAAAATCTTCTAGAAATATTAAATAGTAATATTTCAGAAATGTATTCTAGCTTTTTTTTCTAAAATATTATTAGACTAAAAAAAAACATTTATAAATGTAAATGTTTATTTAAAATACACAAAACTCAAACAAATAATTTTTAAAAATTATTTCATAAAATATAAAGGCGAATCGCTTCATTTCCACAAATTCCTTCAAATGCACTAATGTCAAACAAATAGTTTTTTTTTATAAATGCCTCAAGTAAAG